GGAGTTGACTGTATTAAACAGAGACAGGAGCCTTAAGGTAAATTGCACTAAACAACAGTCATCCTGCCTTAATATGATACATGACAAGCTCCTACGTGTGTGGGGCCTACTGAGCATCCTGCACAGTTGAGATTTTTAAATCTTGACTGTACCACTCATTTACTGCATGGCCTGGGGAAAACACTTATAAAATGGAGACAATAATAGAAACTATCAGGGTTGCTGTAAGGATTAGCTAATATCTATAAAGCACCTAAACAGGACATGGTACATCTTATGTACCTAATCAATGTTAATTTTTAGATTTTATTTTCCCTTGTAATGTAATGTATTGCTGGTCCTGAGCATCTGGCCACACTGCTATCGTACAGGCATTTGGACTGCAGCAGGCAACATGCCAGCAGCTCTCTCTATTGCTGGTTCCTTCCTATTCAGCCTTGGAAATTGGGGTGTCCTCTACCACATCACACAACAATAAAAGGTAGAATCTTAGAAATGGCAAAACCAATATCAATATAAAAATATATAATAGATTTATTTCTGGTAGTGTTTTATGATGGTTTTCTGGATTTCAGTAGGAGAAAATAGAGCATTATTTGAAACCATTTTATCCTAGGAAGCATGACTGTTGCTAATTCTGCATCAAAATTTCCTAACTCCTGTGGTAGCACATAATTTCTCTGCTTTACATGTACAATGGGATTGATGATATTTGTTTCTTGGAAGAATAAAAATATTTGTAAAGTAGTGAAAAAATCTAAAAAAATCTCCTGATTCTTTTATGAGGTTGTATTTTGAGGGATTTGTGAGTTTATATACACAGAATTGTTTGGAAATAAAATTATCAAGAATTAGAATAAAGTAATAATTTGTCTTGTTTACAGTATTGTTGCCAAATCTCATTGGAATGTATTTACATACCCTTCAAAATTTGGGTGATACAAGGTCAATATTGTTTTTATTATCTTTGTTCTAATAACAAGACCAATTATGAGGCAAATAATGGTGTCCTTTGTAAAAAAAAATAACACTAATGGCACATCATTAGAGGGACTTGTTTTTTAATGAGAAAGTTATATAAGTGAAACATTCTTAATAACACCTTGAATATCCTTCCTCCACATATAGTTTTTACTTTTCAAAATACTTCTTAACAGATCCCAGAACATTTATGAATCATTCACTCATTCGTTTTTCAAGAGGCTACTATGTGCCAAGTATCCTAGGCACTGGGGATACAGAGGCATTAAAACAAAACCTTAACCACCCAGTTCAAGGGGCTTACAATCTGGGGTTTGTAGATGGGGGTGCTTGAGCACAGAGAGATGGCAGATTTACTATGTAAAGGTTGAAATGTGCACAGGATCCAACAGGGGCATGGAGAACATTTCATACTAGTTACTGGAAGGTTGTCTGGAAATGCTTCTTTGTGACCTTTGAGCTGAGCCTGGAGATGTAAGTGGGAGAGCAGAAGAGAGGTAGAGGTAGACACCTGCTGACAAAGGGGTTTCAAGCGAAGTCCTGGAGGTGTGAAGGGGCCCTCAGGATAACCGAAGGATGGTTCAGGGCAAGTGGCTGTGGAGAGGAACTTCAGAGAGACCAGAGGCTGCCCTGCGGGGGTTCTGGGGGCAGTATGTATCAGTATCATGAACATAGTTGAATGATGCATTTGGCAGACATGCCAATTCATAGCTAATATTAAAATATTGCCATGGATGTAAAGAGGGAGAAAGTCTTATTTACACTGACCTCTCTCAAGAGGTAAAGGGAATATGGAGGGAAGGCATTTTTGGATTAACCATCTATAGCCTGAGGGACTCTCACAGGGCTCTGGGGAAGGGGACTGAGCTGGTTGACTTGAGGTCTTTCTCCTCTGAGTAGCTGGCAGTCCTCCATCTTTCTCTGCCACCATTCTCAACCTCTCTGCCCACTAGAGCTGAGCAAACATTCCATGCATAGTGGAATTGTTCGTTGGCTGTCCCAGTCTAGCCCTGATTGCAATCAGAGCAGTGGGAGGTTGCAGTCTGCAGGGGTGCCTTCAGTCTTGTCACTCTCGCTGCATCTTGCTGTGCCTTGCTCTGCTGAGGTGAGAGTCACTGGGAATGTGCTTGCTGGCTGGTGTGTCATCAGGCAAAGCATGCCTGTCCCATAGTTTTTACTGTGCATTGTGGTGACTTAAGGCAGGCAACTTTGAGAATATTTTTCCTTGGTATATTGAACTAACAATTACATAGTAAGAGCTTAATTTACATGCATCTTCCCTACATTTCTTTGAGTATTCAGTGAGTAGTTGCTAAGGAACTGAAAATGTGTCCAGACACAGATATTGCTATATTCAACAATAGGGTCAATTTTCTGAGCTACAAAGCCAAATGCCTGTAGCCCCTGTAACAATGCACAGAATAAGGTCAAGTTAAGATACTAAAACCTAAGGAAGAGCTACTGAACTTCACTAGCTATAGGGACTTTGTTCACCAAAATAATTTTCACCTGTGTCTTCCTGAAAATAAACCTACAATTAATAAGAAAACTTTGGAAAGGAAAAGTTAACAGCAGGCCCACAATCTAGGTTTTTGTTTACCTGGGATATGAAATAGATGTCTCAGTCAAACCCCCTGGCATACATGCTAATAGAAAGACCTGGTAAAAAACACTGATGCTATTTATAAGTAAAGAGAATAGAGAGCTCTTATCTGTGAAATGCTTCGAGCAGCTGTTTCAGCTTTCTATTGCCGCATAAGAAACTGCCCCTAAACTTAGTGGCTCAAAACAATAATTTATTATTTTGTTTCCCCTTTCAGTGGGTTGACATGTCTCAGCTGGGTGATTTTTGCCTGGATCCTCTTGTGACTTTAATCAGGTAGAACTGCAGCTGCAGACATCTGAAGACATGGCTAGTGATTTCCACAATGGCTCACCCATTCTGCCAGCAGAGGAGATGGGAAACTCAACTACATGAGGCCTTTCCACGTGCCCTGGGTTGGCACAGCACGGCTCCTGGGGTTTGAGAGGGAGTGTCCAGAAGAGAGTATTCTAACAGAGGCAGGCCAGCTTAGACTCCAGAGCCCCAGAATGTCACTTTTGCTGCATTTGTTGGTCAAGGGCTGCCCAGACTCAAAAGGAGGGGAAATAGACTCCACCTCTTAATAAAGCAGTGAAATAGTCACATTGCAAAAGAACAGGTGGGTTGGGTGATATCAGTGAGGACATCTTTACATAATGCAATCTGACATAGCAGGATATGCCTGGTCTGTCCAGGTTGTGTATTTTAAATAAACCTGGTACTTAGAGACTAGTAGGTGCATGCCTGGAGACATAATTCCAAAAGGGAAGAAATTGGGAGTCTTATATAAATCGATGGCTCATTGCTATTTGTTGCTTAGAAAACAGGATCCAAGCCCACGTGCAAACTCATTCCTGTCCCTCTCCTCATGATAGCGTGACGCAGAAATGCTAGGGCAGGTCCCTAAGGCAGGAGAAGGAGATAAGGATGAGATAAGGAAAGAAGACATAATAAAGAAAGGGAAGAGATTCTTTAACTTCTTGAATTATGCATCAAAGTGCATGTGAAAGCCTTTCTTTAAGAATTAGTATAATGATAGGACTCTCAGTGGGATTATAGTTTGATATTTGCATGTTTCCCATTTTCCTACATGAAATGAAATTGCTCAAAGCCAACTCGCTACAGGGTGGAAGTAGGGATGTGCTCCCCTTCGTCCCCTATGAGTTCTGTGCCTCCTTTGGCATTTTGGTAGGGATGCTTAAGGCCCCTCCTTATTATCAAATGCAACATTATGCAAAATTTACTTGATACAAGTTTTATTCAACCAATTAGAGATATTAAAATGCGCTTTATGGATATACTGATGGTGGGGAATGTAGAGAACAGCATTATGTATTAACAAGGAAAATAACATCCAAGGAGGAGTTACTGAGAACTTGGGGGACCAGAATGGTGGTGCGTCTTGCATTATGAAAATGTAATAAATACTCATAAGGCAGAATGTGTTTATGGAGGCTTTGAAAATAACAATAAAGCCATCTTCAGATTGCCTCTGCAACCCGGGGATAACCTGGGACGAGTGGAGAGAGGTGCTCACCCTGCACAGCCTCCTTGGGCCAGTGCTTCCGTAGTGCGTGGGACTCCAGCTGGGCCCAGTGGGAGGACTTTCATGGCGTCAGGATTGGTGGTGTAGTTTGCCAAAGTGCACAAAATGATAAAATAAATACTGTTTCACTTTGTCTTCCCAACTAAACCAATCACAAACAAGTCAGATCTTTAAAAAGACATTTTCTGTCATGCTCCGCTTGTCTTAACCTTCCTGGGCTTCCAGCATAACCCGGAGCGGGAGGGCAATGATGCGATCTGCTTACGGGACTGGCCTTTCCCCATTTCTAATGCATCTTTTCTTCAGCTTCTCTCTCACAAGGCCCTACATACACATTTTACTCCTTATGTGTTGGTGCATTCCAGCCCTTAGGGATTACAGCAGTTTTTTGGGGGGTGGGGGAAATGGTTAGCTCTTTTTGCTTTGTTTTTAAGTCTTTTGCATCCTTACCATGATCCTGCTAGGTTCACCAAACTGTGTTCCTAGCCACAGCTGGACAAAGCTATTCCCTAGTACAGAAAATGCTTTTGAGGCAGGTATGCCTCCATCATCCCCACCTAAACATTTGACAGTGATGCCTAAATAAACTCTAATTTTTCCAGCCAAACACTTAGTACCTAAATGCCTCCCACTCAGCATTTTTGCCCAAACTATGTGCTATCCTGAAAAGCTTATGGCTTATTTGCTTTGTAATTAAAGTGCTATAATATATCCAGAACTTTTCCACATGCTAGCTTCCAAAGGGGAGCCCATGATTAGCAGTTACTTTAATACTTCCATTTCACAAATTACTCATTTCAGAACTAAGTAGATTAAGTAGAGCTCTTCATTTCCTAATATTAATATGGTTTTCCTCCACAATTTCACACTGATTTCCTTTTTCCCTTGCAGAAGGAGATTGGAAAGTGACTGTAGTCACTGGGGATCTTGAAAATGCTGGCACCACGGCAACAGTATCCCTTTGTGTCTATGGAGAAGCAGGATGTTTAGGTCCTATTATTTTGGGATCTGGGAAACACCAGCTGTTTAACCCAAACACTGAAGATACATTCAAGGTAAAACTGATATGCTATTACTTGTTTGCTAAGATATATTATGATATATATTCCCTGAGACAGAATAGAGAATTGTTTGTTTCTTTTGGTATTGCATTTGCATTACATTTTCTTGGGTAAAAACAGGAAATATTTGATCATAAGGGAGTTGGGAAAGAACAGGAATATAAGATTCTTGTTTCTTCCCCATGTCTATTTGTACAAAGGCAGCAAAGTATATGAACTTTAGAAAACTTAACAATTAGAATGGAAAAATTTACTCCTAATCCTGCCCCCAAGGAAATATTTCCATTTTGGAATATCTTTTCTAGTCCTTGTCCACATCCATGGAGTCTGGTGCTAGGACAGGATGGTGGAGCAGCCTAGCTGAGACATGGTCTAAGGAGTCAAGTGGCTGAGTGTGAAACACTGGCTTCAACTCTTATTAGTGTGGTGCCCTCGACAAGTCACCACTTGTAGTATGAGGCACATACTACAACTGCTATGTGCCTCACTAACCCTTATCTGAAGGGGTATCATGAGGATTAAATAAATTAATCCATATAAAGTGTGCAGTGCTGTGCCTGAAATGCTCAATACATGTCTGCTATTAATATTGTAGTGCATAAGCAATTGTGTAGCCCCTTATTTCTGCAAGGAGCTATGTAGACTTGCTAATTATGATTTGTATTGATTTAATATTGAGTATATGAAATTTACCATTTCATAAATGAAACTCTTTGCTATTGTTGACCATTTAAATGGCTTCTAGGTTTTACTATTGTTAAGTACTGCTTTAATGAACCTATTTTTTACCTTAGTTTCATCTTTTTTCTAACCAAAGCCACCTAATTTCATTATGACAAAGTCCAAGAAATGGGATTACACTTGATCCATTCTGACAAAGTATTTTGTAAACGTGTCTCATTTATAGCACAGGGCCTGGCAGAACATGGTAAGCAACTGATAAATTTTAACAGTTACTGAATCATCACTGCATAGCCCCAGATCATTGTATATGTATCTGCCATACATAGTGTTTATTATTTTTTAAAGTTTCTTACTACCTCTTAACAAGTTTTAGTATGTAACTGTGGATTTGTGAAAGTTATCTTCACTTCTTACCTTTTTGTTCAAAGAGTTTTATCAAGTTATAGTTCACATACCACAACATTCATCCATTTAAAGTGCGGAATTCATGATGGTTAGCTATACAACCCTCACCACACTCTAATTGTAGAACATTTTCATCATTCCAAAAAGAAAGCCCTGCCTGTTAGCAGCTACTCACCTCATGCCCAGCCTTAGGAAACCAGTCATTTGCTTTCTATTTCCAAAGATTTGCCTTTTCTGGATATTTCGCATAAATGGAATTGTAAAAAATGGAGTGCTTTTTGTGTATGGCATTTTTTTTTAACTTGACATAATGTTTTCAGGTTAATCCATGTTGTAGCATGAATCAGTATTTCATTTACTACGGCTAAGCAATATTCCATTGCACATATATATGACATTTTATTTATCCATTTGGCAGTTGATAGACATTTGGAATATTTCTTCAGTTATGAATATAATTATTATGAATAATGCTATGAACATCAATCATACATACATTTTTATGTGGACATATAATTTCTTGTAGGTAGAAATAAAATAACTCTATCATATGGCAACTCTATGTTTTACATTTTGAGGAACTGCCAAACTGTTTTGCAAAGAGACTGAACTATTCTTACATTTTCAGCAGCAGTGTTGATGGTTCCTAATTCTCTCCCTTCTCACAGAAATTTGTTATTGTCTTTTGATTCTAGCCATCCTACTGGTTGTGAATTGATGTACTATTGTGATTTTGATATGCATTTCCTTAATGAATAATTACACTGAACATCTTTTCATGTGCTCATTGGGCATTTGTATATCTTCATAGGAAAAATGTCTATTCAAATCCTTTGCTCATTTTTAATTGGACTATTTATCTTTTTACTAATGAATTTAAGACTTCTATATATATTCTGGATGAGTCTCTTATTACATATATGATTTATAAATGTTTTCTCCCATTTTGTGGATTGTCTTTTAACTTTCTTGATGATATGGATTTGAATTACTTTGAGTGTCCTTTCAATTCAGCCTGAAGGATCCCCTTTAGTATTTCTTGTAGGGTACTTCTACTAGTGATGAATTTTCTCAGTTTTTCTTTGTCTGAGAGGAAGTAGAAGAGGATTCTAGCTTCAAAGAATAGTTTTTAAAGTTATGTTAGGCTTTGTGATAATTTTGGAAGCTACTCTTCATATTTTACAGAGTCAGCCCTCCAGAAACACCTAAAACGTCACTGAGAACCAGGCTAAAGGAAATGAGACATCCTCAAAAAATGACTAAGACAAGAATCAGAGCAAAGAGTCCATTACAGCAAAAAATTTGAAGAGCGTAGGCAGAGAGGATTTCCTAGACCGCAGGGCCTAGAGCTCATGCAGTTGCTCACTCCTGAATCTTATCCATTGACTGACATAGACCAGAGACTCATGTATATCTGTCAAAAGCATGAAAGTTTAATGAAAATAACTTAGCTGAAATTTGTTTAATATTTGTTGCTTTCTCTTGGGTTGTTGTTGAATTTCTCTTGTGATCATTTATTTGCACCTTGAGGGTGTCATAAAGGGCATCCCATGTTTCTTATATGGTTATTATTTACTTATAAACCTGCCCAGAGATTTGAACTTTTTATTTCATTTCTGCAAATTGAAACACTAAATAGTACTCTCTATTGCTTGGGCCAAGTTAGCTGGCTAAGCCATTTACTCCTAGAAGGTAGTTTCCTGCTTCTAGTTTGCTATTGCATGGAGTCAATTAATTTTGTAGATGAATAGGTTTAATATTTATTATAAGCTCTTAGGGCACTTGCACAATCATTTGAATGTCCCTTTTGTTCCTAGAATAGAATGCATAATACATTTTGTCTTTTTAAGAGCAATTTATATCAACAGGAATTAGAAGACCTATATTTGAGTTCCAACTCTGACCTTTATGATCTAAGGTTATATGGATAAACCACTTAACATTTCTAAACATTAATTTCCTCCTTTGTAAAATGGGTAAAATAATACCTTATAATGTTATTGTATAGGTTGAAAGGGTTAAAAAGTAAAACACTTTGTATAAAGTATGAAACATTCTTGTCTTCATGCTCCTGAGGCTAAATCTTGTCACCCTGCCCACATATTGGGGTAGTCTTCCTGCTGGGGTGGGATTGAAGATAATTCTTCAGATGAATGAGGGCTGGGAAGCAGTGTGGCAGCTGGTTGGTAGGTGGCTGTTGCTGGCACGGGGCGGCAGGGGTGGGGTTCTGTGCAGAAACGTGTCTGGAGGCTGGAGTAGGAGGAAGAAACGGAGCCAAGACTAAGTTGGCGGGGCTGGAGCAAGGCCATGAGTGCACATGTAACAGCAAGAACATTTATCTTAGGCGTTTCAGTGTTTATAAAGTTAGATGTCCATGTGGATCTACAAATTATAAGCCACTAGCTAAATGGATGCCAGCATGTCATTTGATTTCGGCACAACTTTGTATGTCTTTCTTTTCTACATGTTTCTTTTCCTTCTCTCTTCCTCCTCTCCATCCACCTTCCTTATCTCCTTCCCTCCTCTCTCTCTCTGTTTCTTTGGTGGACTTGAAGCTTAGAGTTCGGTCAGATTTCACACTGACTCCACTTGGCAGTTTAGGACTTAGGCTGTGCACCGCCCTGCTCACGGTTGTCCTTCCTGTGAATGGCAGATCCCAGGGACAGTTCTACTTAATCTTTTTTCTCAGTCACAGAAATTGAAGTACTTTTTAATGACCTCTACATTTGAACCACCAAAATTTCAAATATGAATTCTTACTGAGAAAAGCCAGTGAAGTTGCTCTGCTTAAATGCAGGATAAACTATAGAAACCAAAACCTCAAGACAGACTAAATTACAGAAAATGCATGAACACTTTTCAGAAGGACTGTTTTTCTCAGAAGGGCTAAATAGTAAAGCAAATGATTACTGGCCTCAGAGAGCAACCGTTTTTTATTTATTGGAGGATTACTGAAAGGATATGGATGACCCACTCCTTAAGAAGCCAGAAACCTTTGTGGAAAGAAAAGAGAAAGGGTTTTTACTGATATTTCCTCTGAGCTGGATGTTGGATATTTAGTAAAGCTGAAACAAAAGCATAAATACCTTTCTCTAACCCTTCTCTCTTTAACTGGTGAAATGGTGTCTCTTCTTTTCAAAACCAACACCTGTATTTGCAGTCTTGATCACATCCTCGTCCATCTTTTAAGGTTATGTTCCCTCAGCCTTCCTCTTATATTCTTTCTTACCTCTTTATGATGGCTCTATTTATCCCTTGCCTTCAGTCTACCAACATACTTATGTCTTCTCTTTTCTAAAAATGACCCTTGCTCTATTCTTAAATTACTGACTTTTCTTCTTCCCCTCTTGGCAATTCTTTTGAAGTCCTAGTTTACCCCTGTGGCTTAACCTCTATCTTTTCCCACTCTCTGCTAAATCTCTTACACTCTGGGATCTTCTCCCATAACTCTACATAAACCATGTTTTCTGAGATAAGCAGTGAGGTCCTAACTATCTCATCAGTTGTTGTCCTGGGTTGCTGGTGAAGGAATTACTGGGCAGGTGATTGCAGTTACATGTGTGGGTGCTGGGGTCAGATCTCCTACATTTAAATCCCAGCTTTTTGACCAGCTGTGTATTTGTGAGCAGTTGCTCAAAGTTTTATGTTCTGTAAAATGGGCATTAACAATCACACCGATTTAAGACAGTTGTGTGCATTATGTGGGATACACAAAGTCAACGTGAAATGTTTAGCACAGAGGAGGAGGACACATAATAGCAAATCAGAAATTTAAAAATATTTTTATTGTATATGGAGAGAAAATGGACAAAAGAGTTTCAAGAAGGAATAGGTGACTTTATGGGTGTGTTTCCCCCCAAAATGTTGAGATCCTAGGTATCTGTGAATGTGACCTTATTTGGAAA